GAATATCTAACAATAGCAATCAATTGCCGAGGATGATTCAATGAAATAAAGAAAAAAATCTCAAACACGATTTTTTTTTCCTTATGCAATTAGCGTAATGTCCGATTACTGAATATTATTCTTAAAATTATTAAACACGCATATACGATCCTCAATATTTCCGTTTTTAAAAATTCCGCAAAGCATACATCATTATGCATTTATCGAATTTTCCACTATGTCTAACAATGTTAATTTCTCGATGATGTAACCGTATATAATTACAATACGTATCGCATGCCTAAGCAGATAAGTGAATGTCAAACGAAGGTATCTCATTTTATACCGCGTGCTTATCATAATTCCATCCACATTTGTATTAAGAACGGTCATGAAGAGCCCTTCCATATTTAAAAAAATACAAAAATATAAAAAATACAAAAGAAAAAGTTCTTAACGGAAGTATTTTCATATTAGAAATAAAATGAAAAACTATTTAGGAACTTATGTTGCTATATACATCATCGATCGTCAAAGAACGATGGTACTTTAAAGTTAAAAAATTTGCCCATGAAGGAAATGTTTGATATCAAAGTGTATGTGTTCGCTGCTATCACTATTAGCATTGGGTTATGAGCATGTGGTATCCTCTTCCCTTTCTTTTTCCTTTTCTCTCTTCCTTCTCCCTGCCCCCTCCTCTCTCTCTCTCTCTCTCTCTCTCAATAAATAACGATATCATCATCTCTCGAAAATATGAATGAAAAAAACGCTTATTTTGTTCACATTTATTGGACAATTTTAAGCTTGGCAAATTTTCTAAATTGTTATTATTTTCTTATGTGTCGCGACCACGATCCCGTAAAATTACATATGTTTATAAATATCGGAATACTCGTAACAAATATTATCGCTATTTATATGGTAAATATTAAGTCAATCACTGCTTGCGCAAATAGAACGATAATAAAATTCGTTCGTGTTTTTCAGTGACGTGATATTTATCAGACGATTCGTAATGTAATGCTTCGCGCATAAATATGAGCAGCGTTCAATTTGTTAATCGGGCGATGATAGCGCGATCCACATGTCTGGCGATGCGTCCGCTTGGATAAATGCTCGGACACAGTATTGCCTTTGATATGAAAACTTGACAAGATGCTGAATTATTTAAATGAAAGAAAAACCGCACGCGACGCGACGTATAATCTCGTAATTACAGAAAAATGTATGTATTGTGAAAAATTAGCAATTTTTCTTCCACTCATTTCAAATCTTTCGTCGTTAGATAACACCGCTTGTACTTGTGGGAAGCATTTCATTATTGAATTACGAAAGTGGAATTCTGAAAATTTCTCATTGCGGAATCCTGAAAATTTTCCATCGCGCGGAATCCTACAAATTTTCCAACGCACGGAATCCTGAGAATTTTTTATTGCCTTGAAGCCAAAAATATTTTTATATTTTTACGATTTGTTTCTTCACGCGTCACTCATATATGCATTGTGCTAAGGCCGTAGGATATAAATCTAAAATAAATGTATCACTTTGATTGACAGATTACCAAGCAAATTTATTAAATTATTTTTATCGTCATTATATTTAATTCTTATCTTAATTTGCACTGAATAATTTAAAAATTAAGATCTATAGAGAGAGAGAGAGAGAGAGAGAGAGAGAGAGAGAGAGAGATTGAAATCTTATTGAAACAAAATCTTCATACTTTCACCGTAAATATATATATATATATAGAGATATATATATATAGAGATATATACATATATACACATTGCGTGTGCACGCAAATCCTTTAATCAGTAATTCAAACAATGTGATCAGATAAACCCGAGAAAATTTGTAAATAAATAATCGATGTAACTTTTAACTCGATTTTCATATCAACGTCCATAGAGATACTGATCCCTTTGATGCATAGAATCGCATGCCTTGTGCATCCGGCTCTGCTACAGACGGAGCGAGAAAATATTTTTCATAAGAAATATTTTCTCTTGACAAGAACAACAGCAGTTACAAAATCGGCATACTCGGAGAAAGAAAAACGATGAGAAATACGTATACGCAATGTTTTCTTTTCATTTTCTACTGCTGCACAGAATTGTTAGTCGAGCTAATCACTTTACTTTCACTTTTTAGCTACGTACACATTGTGGTGTTAAATAAATTTTCAAATAAAACGAAGGTTGTTCCAATATTTGCGCTTGAAAGGAAGCTTTGAGCTGTTGTAAGTCGCGCTACTTACAACCAGATGTCGAAATGCACACGACACAAATGTGGATCGACCCACATTTGAGTCAGCACCCTACTTAAAATTAGAGCGTTAATGTAGGGCATATGCAATAATCACGCCACGATTGTTGCATATGAAAACGCTGATAACGCATTTCGACATCTCGCCTCATCCTTAATTCCATCGTATATAATCCGATGGAACAGAGGATCAGGCAGAGTGCGAAAAACGTAACGAAGAGAGTGACAGCTCGTAAGTGCGGGACTTGAGCGTGAAGTAAAGCTGTAAGAATCGGTGAAGAATAAATCTTTGTCTGGTTATTACACCTGAACGGCGTACCTCTCTGTGTCTACCCGCTCTGCGGCCACAACAGAGCGTTCATATAACTTGCAGTAAATACATGTATCCGCCGCAGAAATCTGTTCTGAGATTACAGAACTCTTGGATTGGGAATTAAATTTGCGTGAAATGTGTGCATAGTCATCTTGCTCCGTTCGTGTTCTCCGATGACAGTTGGAACACGTTTCCGAAGATCGTTAAAAAAAAGATTATCCAATATTTGTGGTATCACGTAATGGTCTGTCCTGTTACACACATGCCGTTATTACAGAAATTCAGAATTATTTAGAAACTTTTGATTATATAAAGTCACTGGCTTATCTCTTTTTTATATATTATTAAGTGGATTATGAATGTCTTGAAAAACGATAATATTTTTTCATAACGATGGCGATAATTATTATTCAATGTATCTCACGATCAAATCTCTATAGCAAGAAACGTACATTTTTCTGAAATATTGTATTTTCTTTTAATAGAATGAAAATCGAGACCGTGAAAAGTTGAACAAGAGAGAAACGTCAAATACTAAAACTGATCTTGCTCACTAATAATAATTTTTGTGTAAATCTTACAATTCTCAATTTCAACAAACTGCGCGCCCCACATTCGTTAGTCTTGTAACACAGTTACAGAATGAATACAGCGTACGTAACACATAGTATATCTGTATGACGTAACATGACAACTAATCAGTTTAATCGGAACTAATTTATTTTTTGTTATTTCGTACATATAATGAACGTAATCATAAAACGAGTGATTTAAACCACTCAAGCTATAAATGTATTTCATGTCGATTTTGTTTTTCGATTATTTTAACACGAAGTCGGATTTACAACGTACGGTACTTGCGACGGTTCTTTCGAAAATATAAAAATACTTCGCTATAAATCGGAAGGAGACAGCAGAAAAAAGCGTAAAAAAGAAACTCAATCGTTAAACTAGTGATATAAGTGTATACCACTCGGTATAATCGTATATACGAATAACAGTCCTACGATCGTAAAGCAACGATTATTCGAGGTCGAGCGCGAACGAGGACTTGTCTCCGTGGCACAGGCAAGGTCGCGCTCCGAAATTTTAACAGCGGGAATACGTGCGCTTATGCATTCCGCCCACGTGGTCCTTCCATTATGCTATGTCCCTGAGCACGTTCCTCTCGCCGCCGCCGACGGATCCACGTGCACGCACGCGATACGTCCGCGTATGTACGTATACGCGCACGTAGTTTATTTATATCGTCGCACGCGGAGCGCATGCCAGGATGCCGCCCGCCCCTCGATGTATCTCACAAGTGACCGGACTCGGCTTTGGCAAACAAGCGCTGAAAATCTGATATATTATTTACATAGATCCGAAATCGAAACCGAAACTAGATCTTATAAAGTTTATAACACCAAAATTATAATCGAACCAATGAAATTATCTTCGATTTACAGCTATTT